GGCCCGATCTCAGCTCACTGCAACCACCACCTCCCAGGTTCAAGCGATTCTCCTGCTTCAGCCTCCCAAGTAGCTGGGATTACAGGTGCCTGCCATTGCACCTGGCTAATTTTTGTATTTTTAGTAAAGACGGGGTTTCACCATGTTAGCCAGGATGGTCTCGATCTCTTGACCTCATGATCCACCCGCCTCGGCCTCCCAAAGTGCTGGGATTACAGATGTGGATGCCCAGCTAATTTTTGTATTTTTAGTAGAGACGGGGTTTCAGCATGTGGGCCAGCCTGGTCTCGAACTCCAACTCCTGACCTCACGTGATCCACCTGCCTCGGCCTCCCAAAGTGCATTTTTGGTAACACTAACATAACTAATATGCATCACAATATTCAAGCCCTAAGTTTGACACGAAATGTCAGGCTAAAGTAGTTTGCATAACCAGAATTGCATCCTCTAGGCTCTCCCACTATGAAATCTGATTATTAAGAGGCTTATTTGAGGTCATACAAGGGCAAAAAGAAACACTAAATACTATGTCCACATAGTATCTTAGAGGAATAGAAATAGACAAGTGTAGCTAAAGCTTGTTGATACTGACACCTTCAATAATAAACTTAACGCTTTGAGACAATTACAAAAACACATAATACAATTGCAATGGAAATGGCAAAAATTCAGAATTGGACTATTGAGAAACAATGTAATGCCCAAACAAAAATTCACCACAAGGATGTCAGAGGGACACAGCAATAAAGCAGCTTAGCAATTAGCTAGAAAAAAGCTCTGAGATTTCATCACTCGTTCAGCATGACATGCTGCTATGATAATATAACTACTGATTGGACTGATGTGGAAAATGGCCAATGGGTGGGTTTGTCCTCAAGACTTAACATAATAAGAGCCATGGACATGACCAGGCATGGTGGCTGACACCTGTAATCCTAGCACTTTGGGAGGCCGAAGTGGGCAGATCACCTGAGGTCAGGAGTTCGAGACCAGCCTGACCAACATGGTGAAAACCCGTCTCTACTAAAAGTACAAAATTAGCTGGGTCTGGTGGCACATGCCTGTAGTTCCAGCTACTCAGGAGGCTAAAGCAGGAGAATTGCTTGAACCTGGGAGGCAGGGGTTGCGGTGAGCCGAGATCGTACCATTGCACTCCAGCCTGGGCCACAAGAGCAAAACTCCGTCTCAAAAAAAAAGAAAAAGTCTTAAAATTTTAGATGGGTGCTGCAGGTAAGCCACTCCTTAGGCTGAGATTGGGTAAGACTTTGTAAGCAACTACAAAATGATACTCAAATAGTTAACTGCATGAAAGGGCAAGTGATAAAGACAGCACAGCAGTTTGTAACATTAATGTGTGCCAAAGGAGAATTTTTGCACATTGCTAATCAAGTTTGCTTTAACCATTCGCCATTAGTATGATGCGTTTAGAGGTTTTTCCCCGAGGTGCGTATTCTACTGACTGTTAAATTCATCCCATGGAGATCCTGATCATTGTTTTTACAACAGGCTGAATGTTTATGTACACCCAAAATTCATATGCTGAAATCCTAACTAATCCCAAGGTGATGGTATCAGGAGGTGGGGTCTTTGGGAGGTGATTCGGTCATAAAGACAGAAACCTCATGAATGGGATTAGTGCCCTTGTAGAAGAGAGTCCAGAGACACCCTCCACTCCTTCCAGCATGTGAGGTGAAAATGAGAAGACAGAAGTCTATGAGGAAGCAGGCCCTCACCAGACATCAGATCTGCTGGAGCTTCGTTCTTGGAGTTCCAGCCTCCAGAACCATAAGAAATAAATTTTTGTTGTTTATAAGCCAGCCAGTCTATGATGTTTTGTTCTAACAGCCTGATCAGCTTTACTGTTTTACTGTGGGCTCGCTGAGTATTTTAATGGCTTCAAACTGCCCAAAGAAAGGTAAAAAAAAAAAAAAAAGCAATGGAGATCATTAGCAAATTATAGTGTTACTATAAAATAATAACAAAGTGGGGAAACTGTAAAGGTAAATAAAACTAAGATGGCATTTGTCTTGTTTCCAAAAGGAAAAGAAACCCCTTCTCCCCTTCCCCTTTCTTAGAACATTTCCTTAAGAAAGCTTGTATTTGTAAATCCTTCCTCTGTTCCTTCAGATACTTATGCAAGTCTTTTAAAAGTTTAAATAAATCTTTTACCAGAATTAAAACCCAAAACTGTTTTTCTGAAAAGCCTGGGAAGCCCCCTCTCACAAGTGTAACATCAAGGACGACAGTGCCCCATGTTGCTGTCACCAAGGGTGTGTCAAGGTGCAACTAGGTGCCTTGACAATCTGCTTTATTTTTTATTTTTTTATTTTTTTGAGACGGAGTCTCGCACTATTGCCTGGGCTGGAGTGCAGTGGCGTGATCTCGGCTCACTGCAACCTCTGCCTCCCGGGTTCCAGTGATTCTCCTGCCTCAGCTTCCCAAGTAGCTGGGATTACAGATGCCCACCACCACACCCGGCTAATTTTTTGTATTTTTTAGTAGGGACAGGGTTTCACTACATTGGCCAGGCTGGTCTTGAACTCCTGACCTCATGATCTGCCCACCTTGGCCTCCCAAAGTGCTGGGATTACAGACGTGAGCCACTGCCTGGCCAACAACCTACATTTCCTAGAGATTCAAGTTGCTTTATTTTCCCTCCAGAAAAAGGCACTAATTAACACAGATGCCACCCCAATCACCAGGTGAATTAGGTAAGCTGTGAGCGTATGTATAGCAAACAACAACGTCGTGGAGCTCTCTCTCACCTGAGTTCAAGTCCTCATACACGACAGCATGTGTGTAATGGGTTGTGCTGCTTGACTACATACATGGGGGGATTTCTGTCTTTATGATGGTGTTAGCTGATTACATGTAATGCATCCATGTGTTGAATGCTTATTCAATCACAGAACTAGTATTTTCTTTATTTTCCACATTTGTGGAGAGAATATTCTGGGTTGGCAGGAGATTTTATTGAAAACAATTCTTTTCCTCAATAGCACAAGGTCTGTCTTCCAAGTTGCCGTAGGCAACAATTTTAGCAAATGTTCTGCTACGACATAAAATACCTTTCCTTACTGCCCAGCCCCCAACTGGTGATACTTTACCTGTCTGTTAACAGCATCCCTCCATTTCAAAGAACCCATGTCTGTGTGTGTTAGAGTAGGGTGGGCAATGGTGTACTAAGTCAACCTAGATGTCGCATCCCCTTCATGCAGTAAAAGTTTATTCCTTGCTCACGGCGTCGTTTGATGAGAGCCAGTGGAGTCGGGGGCTTATTCCTGCTCCAAGCGGTCAGGGGCCTTCAGGACGCAGGCACCTCTTGTCTTGTAGTACTGCCATCTGCAACATGAGGGAGGCCTCAGAAACGGGAACCACACGGCAAGTCACCAAACCTCCAACCCAATCCTGGAACTTACCAATCTTGGAACCTTCAGTGGGTCATAGAAGGGAAACCAGCCAGACGTCAGCCTGCTGCTGAGACCTCGGTCAATGAGTCACCTGGGCTCTCGTGAATTACAGAATCAATGTTGGAAGCCCAGGAAGCCAACAAATCGGGTTTAGAACCCAGAAGCTTGGTCGTCTTGGAGTCTGGAGAGGCTTGAAGGTTCCACTGAGCCAGGGATTTGGCACCAGAACTCTTGGGGCCAACTCCTGGCCTACCTCTGACTAGTTGTTTCCACTGAGACACATTATTTCTCTCAGTTTCAGTGTCCTCCTCTGTAAAACTGTGTGTTCTACATACTGCTTGAGATGATTTCAAGGCTTAAGGGAGACAATGTTTGAGGAAATGTTTTGAAAGCTACAAGGCACAAGACAAACACCACTTAATATTACTCATCTTGTCCCTGCAGAGACATCCCTCGCTGGGCCAACCTCTTCCCATCTGTGCACAGAGTGGGGAGAGGTAGACACGGAACTGATGTTCCTTCCAGTGCTGCCGGGTGGGATTCCAGCCATGTAACACCCTCCCTCTGTGAGTCTCTGGCCCCTCGTCCTGAGCCTCCAAAGTCTGGACGGTTTCATAGCTCATGTGTCCACCAGATGACAGTGGAAGGGCTCAGAGAGATGCTTCCAGAAAGCCTTTCTCCACAAACACTACACAAAGTTAGGACCCTGTTCCCACCCTTGGCTCAGACCCTAAAAGAGAGAGTCACTCTTATTTGTCTTTACCCCACTCAACCCCACCCTGACTTTGGGATTTCTCTACATCCTGTATTTTGTACCCAGCCTGTTAACTATAGCTTCACTGCTGAGCCATCTGTTCTAGACCATGTTCCTGCCTCTGCCCACCACGCACTTCCCTGGAGCTGGACCTGATCAGCCAGAAGCAGCATCTGAAAAGGAGCATCTCAATTTCAGCACAGTTGACCTTAACAAAATGACTTGGGGAAGAACACCAGCTTGGGAACCAGGACTTCGGGGTTTCCCTGCTTCTGTCACTGGCAGCTGCACAGGCTTATCTGAGACTTTCTCTCTCTGGGTGTGCACCTATAAAATGCCAGGATTGGATGCAATGACTGCTGTTGTGATTCTCAGATGGGGAGCTGGGGAGCGGGGCTGGGAGGAGAATCAGTCGGGTGAACTCCTGGCTGGCTGAGCCCTGCAGAAGTGGTCCTGGGCTCCTCCTTCCTTCAAGGCTTGACCAAGTTCTCTCTGCTTATGCCTCCATTCTGTCCTCTCGCTGGGACAGATGCTTGTTGACTGCCTGTTGACAGGATCATGGGAAGCAGTTTCTCAGAGAGGAGACAAGAGGAACAGAACCCCAAGTCCTAGTGGAAGAGCCTACAAAGGTGGCCATAACCACTTGGCCTTGGCCTGAGCCCTCTTGCAGCCACTGAATGGGGACCTCTTACATTCACTTCCTCGGATCTCTTGAATTCCAATCTCCCTCTTCCCATTTGTGCATTCCATCAGTGGATCTCATTGGTTCACCTGCTCCCACCATGAAGTCCTCTGAGGATTAAATTCTGTTTCAATAATATACTGGGAAGCTGACATTCACATACACACATTTTATTTTTCCATAAAATAAAGGATAATGTGCCCACCCATACCCTGTAAGTTTCATAGCCTAGAAGTCAGTTTCATATCCTAGAAGTCAGTTTCACAGCCTAGAAGTCTTCTGAGTAGTCAGATTTTCTGTCCCCCAGAGGGAGAACTCCTGCACCCCCAGTTCCCAGGGGACCTGGTGTTTGAGGAGCTGCATCAAGCCGCATCATCTTACAAGCCCAGGGGAGAAAGGATGTGTTTAAGAATAGAAGTTGTTCATTTTGTTTTCCTTTGCAAGATTTTGATAGAATCTAGTAGAAAGGCTGTCTGGCTTAGCTCAAAATGCAAGAAAAGGTGTTATTCTTTGGCATCTGGGCATTTCACAGAGGGCATGGGCACTCCCCCACCTAAACAGGCTTGAAAAAGGGCACACACCCAAGAGAGGTCCTCGGGGAGGCCCAGCACAGAGTGGTTCAGGATGCACAGACAGCCTCCCTGGGGCTGTGGGCCAGGAGGTGGGGAAGCCACCTTACTCGGGCTGGAGCAGACTTGGGAAGAGTCATGGGAGCAAGTTTCTCTGCTCTGGGGTCTGGGCCACAGCCTACCATGTCCCATCTCTCTGGTTCTGCCCAGTGTTCCCTCCTTCCTTTTATCCCCAGCACCTCATCAGTGCTCCCTGCTCCTGAACACCATGGTCAATCATCCTGAGGCTTCTCACGTCTGTGAAAAAACAGGTCTCTCGATCACCCAGGTGTAGACTTCCAGGATGGTGCCTGCTTAACTTTCCTACAATCCAGGGTCATCAGGGAAATGGGCCAGGTGGGGAGGGTAGAGCCTCACTTGCAGCCAGAAACCCTGGGATGTAGCCTATCTGTGACAAGGGCAGATTGGCAACCATCTGCAACCAGAAACAGGCCAGGTATTCTATCCACTGCCCCCAGATGCTGCCTCCCAGGTTCCTAGAGCCACCTTGAGTCCCAGCTCAGCCGCCACCCAGACACCGAGCATTCAACCAGGGCAGTGCAGTACATGGGGGCGCCTTGGAATCCCTGGCATCACCCTCACCCCTCTTGCCTCTCTTCTTCGTCCCCACCTCACATCTCTCCCGTCCTTCAACATCTCCTGGGGCTGTTACTCTTCCTGGAGAAGGGGCTCTCGGTCCCCTTCCAGCACCCTCTCATCCTCCTCCTTCTCCATGCAGCCCACTGTGGCAGCCAACCCAGCGCCCACACCACCCCCAACCACGGCGGCCCCTGTGGCCCCCACGGCAGCTCCAGCAGCCACCATCCCGGCCTCTGCAGCCAGTGCAGCTGCTGCCATGCCAGCACCCACTACGCCCCCTGCCAGACCCATGAGCCCAGCCCCCACAGCACCCCCCACAGCAGCCAGGTGGCCACAGAAGCGCATCGTGTAGGAGTCCATAAAGGCCTTGGCCGTGGCCTGCAGCTCAGCTTCCAGTGCCTCCAAGGTCTGATCTCTCCCCTTGCAGAGTAAGGCCACACCATGGCGGGCCAGAATGGCATCTTTCTGGGTAGAGAGGAGGTTCCGCATGGTGTCTGGCAGGACCCGCAGCGCAGAGAATATGCGCTTGGTGGCTATGTCCTGTGACAGGGAGGGGAAAAGAAGGTGCCCTGACCAGGAGCCCCAGGCATCCTCTCCCTGACCTGGACCCTGCCCGGACCACACTTGCCTCCCGAGCATGCCCCAGGGCTCACCTGCTGCCTCACGTACTCCTCGAACTCCCTCTTGGCAGCTTCCACCTTCCTCAGGTCGTGCAGCTGAGCAGCCATCTGTCCACGGGAAAACCCAGGCTGCCTCCTTCCTTCCTCCTCAGCCAGGGGCGCTGCTTGTTTCCTCATCTCCACTCCCAGGGCACACAGACCCCCACCCCGGAGGCCTCGGCACAGCCCCCACCTCCCTGCCTCTCCTGCCTCCCTGCCTCCCTGCCAGAATTCTGGATCCCCCAGGGGCTCATACCTCATCCGGAGAGGTGAAACCGGGCCCTGTCCTCCCCATCCATCCTGAGAGGTTCTGCGGAGATACCATCGCCGGGGTCAGGGAGAGCAGGGGCCCAGCCGAGTCGCCTGGGTCTCCAGGGAGTTTTCACACCTTGATTTCCTGAGCTAGCTGCTGCCCCGTGAGCAGGCGTCTGTCCCCTCTGGCCACGGCGCGCCCCTCGTTCCAGTACCCCTGGCAGCGGCTCTTAGCGTGCTGAGGGGCCGCGCTCAGCACATCTGAGACGTAGGCCCCCAGAAGGTGGCAGAAGTCATCATCTGTGTCTGAGGGAGAGATTTGCATGCTGAGAGACTGCAGGCTTTGGGAGGAGAAGGGGTGTCAGAGGCCAGGAGAGGCGGGTGCTTCGAGGGGCTCGGTTGCCCAAGGAGGGGAGCTGGGAGCAGCGCAAAAGAGGTCCAGCTCTCGGGGACACTCACCACCAGGGCTTGCATGGCCTTGGTTCATCCACCGCCTCCCTGGGGCAGGCAAGAGGCAGCAGCGGGCTCGCTTCCCTTGCAGCAGCTCCTGCACTTTGGGGTATCTGCCAGACAATCTCTGGAGGCAGCAAGAGGAGCGCTCTGAGCTAGGAGGTCCACCCTCCCATGCTTGGGTCCCTACTGGGACCCCTCCCAGCCTTCCCCACCTCTGCCCTGTCCATGGCCCCTCCACCCGATCCCCTTGCACCACTCACCTGGAAGATGTTGCCTACATGCCCCTGCCCTGCCTTGTTGGGGTGGGATGAGTCACGAACTAAGAGGTCCAGATGCTGGAAGAGAAGGGGTCCTGACACCAACAACTGGGGGTATGGGGTCTGGGACCAATGAATCCAAAGATAGGTATCTCACCTGGATGGGCACCATCCCATAATGCTTGCCCATCACCTCGGCCACGTGGACAAACATCTGGGGGTGGGACACAGACAGCGTCAGGGCTGCACCACTTTGAGGACTATGGTGCACCCCAAGCGTGTCTCCCCACCTCCCTATGCCTGCTGTAGGAGCCAGGCTTCCCGCTTCACAGCCTGGGGTTCTCCTGCCTCTCCCCAGACCAGGCATCTCATGCTTTACTCTCCACCCTCCCCCTTCAACCCTGTTCAAGTGTCATAAAACCCTAGGCCAGACCAGGAGGGCATCTAGTTCCTTCGGGTCCAGCCCCTGGCCTAGTGGGCAGGGCAGGGGTGGGGGTGACCCAACGTCAGAGGTCTCTGTACCTCCAGATAGTCCAGGTCTGTATCCTTCAGCTCCTGGGAGGTGTTGAGGATCTGGAATCAGAGAGAACATGTATGAGGGATTACAGAGGCCAGGTGACTTCACTGGGGAGGGCCCTGGTGAGTGGGGAGCTTGCAGGCAGCCTGTAGGTCTCCGAGCACGGGAGAGGCCAGTGTGGGGGCCTTGAAGGCTATAGGGCTGGGCTGGCCTCAAGGCTGGAGGCAGACCTGGAGGATATTGTGATCCATCAGGCCTTCAGCTGCCCCAGGGACCATCAGCCCACCTTTAGGAATAACCCACGTTCCCACCTTCACCAACTAGGAGCACCTTCCCCCTTCCGGGGCAGCCCCAGAACCTGTGAGGACCCCAGACACCAAAGCCTGTGAGATGCTCTGGCCTTGAGGAAACTGAGCTGGAGAAGGGTGTGTGGAGTGGGGATGCCAACATCAGTGTCCCTCATCACCTGGTAGGAGCTCAGCATCGTGGTGAGAGCACAGAGCTTGATCCTTGTTTCCCTGCTCAGCTCAGGGCTCATGGCATCCCCCGTATCCACCAGGAACACCGCCACCTATGCAGGGGGTAGGGGAAGACCCAAGGGGCCAGGCCTGCCTTGTTCTCCCACATTCTTCCCAATCCTGCCCCGTCCCATCCCCATCTATCCTCACCCCAGAGATGCCCTTCTTGATTCCCCTTCCCATCCCTGACCTCCTTCTGCCACTTCCCCCCTCACCTTCTTCCCTTCTTTCCCCAGCAAGAAGGGGTGGCTCCACATCCATATGCCCCTGGCAAGGCCATTGGCACCCCACCTACACCCTTGCAAGGACGCTTCTCCTCCTCTCGGCCAGCCGCCCTCACCAGACTCCTGCAGGGGAGAGAAGGGAGAGCATCAGTTGGTCGATTCCTTGTCCCCACAGACCAGAATAACAGATCCAGCTTCCCCCAAGCAGGGATTCCCATCCTTGCTCCCCGCCCCCCTCCTGCTCCGCCCTGCCCTCACCAGGCCCGGCAAGCCCTGAAGCAAGTGGTTGAGGAGGAAGGACTTCCCTGAGTGCTGCTCCCCCAGGACAGCGAGGAGGCAGACCGGGGTGTCCCTGGCCAGGGGGTGCTTCAGGCAGCGGTTGATGGCCCCCATCCTAAGGATGAGGCCCCCAGACGCATTGACGCGAACCAGCAGCAGCGGCTCCGCCCTCACAGGACAGGTCTCCTGGGCCAGGAGAAGAAAGGGGCCCCTGAGCATCCACCAGCTCCTGACCCGGGAGTGTGTCCAGCCTGGAGCTCTGGGTGCTGTCCTGATGTTCTAGAATAGGGCCAAAGCCACCCCCTCCTCTTGGGTCTGACTGATTAGGCCCAGTCCCCAGACCTGCAGCGCAGGGGGCAGCGGCCGCTGCGGCAGGAGCTTCATCTTCTCGCCCAGGCTCCGGAGGCCCCTCTTCTGCTTGCATATCTTCCGGCACTCAGGGCAGCAAGGCGGCTCACAGCCCGGGACACGGTGCGTGCTGAAGCACCGTATGCAGAAGTCGTGGCCACAGTCTAGCGAGATGGGCTCGCGCAACCTCTCCAGGCAGATGGAGCAGGTGGGGAGCTCCCGTGCCATGGGCCGGGGCCCCAGACCCAGCTCCAACTTGGGGAAAGGTGTGTGGGACCTGTGGGGCAAAACAGGCCACTGAAAAGCAGGATGTCTATTGGGGGCAGGAGGTACCGGCCAGGGTTGTGGTGGAAGACTGATGGCTTGGGAGTGGAGTACCCTTTGTGCCAACCCAGTTTCCATTGGTGCCTCCATGGAAAGGCGGAGCTGCTTCCAGAGAGGCCAAGCTCTGCCAGTTCCTCACTGACGTGTGTCCTAGGACCTGGGGGCCTCAGAGTGGGGGCAGCAGAGCAGTGATGAGAGCGTCTGAGAGGGAGAAAGTCTGGGTAGAAGGGACTCCACCACATCCCAGCCATGCAAATGTGAGCAAGTTCCTTCCCCTCTCTGGGCCCCAATTTCCTAACTGTCCCAATGGAAAGGATAGCAATACCCCTCATGGGGCCGTTGGGGTGACCATCCGAGAGGAGGCGTGTGCAGCTGTCTGCACAGTGCCTGGTGCAAATGCTTGGGAAGAGCCTCTCCCGGCTTTCTGCAGGGGGCTGCTTCTATGAGGTGCTGACTTCAGCCAGGCCCCCAGGCATGATGCCCTCCACAATACCATGCTGCAGGGACAGTGAGGAGAAGGCAGCAGCCTGTGCTGCAGTTGGGCAGATGGCTCTGGATCTTAGAAGATTCCTTCCGCTCTCTGCTCTGAGCTGGCATCTGCCTCCCTGCAGCACCCACCTGCTTCTTCCTGTCCCTCCCTCCACAGCCTGGTGGATCCAGCCTCAGGCGGACAGCCCTCCTGGCTGGGCGGCCGGGCTCTGTGTTCCGGGACCGGCCATTTCAACTGAACTGCCTGGTCTCACTGCACCCATCCCAGCCTGGAAGGCCCCGCTACATACCAACTGTTGCCGCTGTTTCCCATGAAGCTCTGTTTCCTCTCCTTGGAGAAAAAAATAATAATAATAAGATTTAGAACAGAATCCAGACTTCTATCTTCATCCTGGGTTTCCAGGGACTCCTCATGCTCCCCCACCCCGCCCATCACCCACCCCAAGAGGGCTCTTCCCACCCCACTCTCTTTCCCGATCTTAGGACTGAAGACTTGCCCGTTTGCCAAGCCGATGACAAAAGGAAGTGACTGACAAGGCGGGCCTCGGCATGGGAGGCTGGGATGGGGAGAGGGTCCGGATGCAGAGGGGGAGGCCCCGAGACCTTCAACCAGAGGTAAGGATGCCTTTTCTCCCGGAAAGGCTAGCGGGCTGCGGCAGGTGGAAGGTGAGGTTGGGGGATGGTCTCCCCGAGGAGCTGACTCCCGGGCAGAGCTGGAAAAGAAATGTGACAGCCGGGAAAGAGGAGGCTGCTGCTGGACTCACCCCAGGGGGAGGAGACAGGGCTGCGGGTAGCAGGGCTCCGAGGAGGGAGGGATGGAGCCCGGCTCAGAATCCCTGGCAGAGGCTGGGATGCAGGCAAGCCGAGGTGGTGAGTCGCCATGGAGACAGAAGGGAAAGATAAGGACAGGGAGGGGGAGGGGGACAGAGAGGGAGAAGGCGTGCAGTGCACCCACAAACATGGAGGCGCCCTTCGGCGGAACCACGGGCCAGCACTGCCTCTACTGGGCCAGCTGAGGTCTCCCCAGGGCCACAGGACAGGGTGGGCAAAGAGAAGAGGTGTGGGAAACAGGAGAGGGTATGACCAGAGCTGACCCAGAAACAAGGAGTTATTCATCCATTCATTCAATGAACAGTTACTGAGCACCCACTATGTACAGAGCCCCCGAATGCCACCCTACTTCACGTGGCCCTGCACATGCCCCTGCCCTCCCTCAGGTTTATGTCACTGATGCCCAACCCAGCTGCAGCCTTCTTCAGCACCCATGGGCCCTCCATGTCCTCTGGTGTATTTCCCTCCCAGTGGCTTTCACCCTGCCTCAAACTTCAGCAGGGTGAAATCTATCAAAACTATAAGCCACCTCTGGATCTTCTAATGGCCTCTTGACTGGGCTCCTTGACTCCCTTCCACTCCCCAGTGCACAGCCAGCATAGACTCCCCCAGCACAGATGACCTCACACTGCTCAAACACCTTCAGTGGCTCCCTACTACCATCAGATCAAAATCTAAACTCTTCAGCCTGCTGTCTGGGCTGAACCTTCCTTCTACTCTTCTCTCTCGCCCCACTCTTCCCTGCCCCTGCACCCTGGCTTGGTTGCGCTGTTCCTTCTCATCCCTCCTGGGACACCCTCCCAGGCCCAGCGCAGGTGCTGTGGCCTCCCTAGAGCCTCCTTCCCTCACCCCTCCCAACTAGACGCAGTCTTGTTCTCAGGCAGTTCGGGGCTGGGGACGTCTGATATGTGATAAGCTTGGGGCAGCCCAGGCTTCAGAGCCAGGCAGATCCGGGCTTGATTCCCGGCTCAGGGGCTCTGGGATTCCAGTGCACCTCTCTGTGCTCTGAGGAGCCACCATTACCTACCTAAAGCCACTAGTCCAGGCAGCGGAGTCATTTGTACATCTTAGGAGCTAGGATGCGGAAGGGTTGGGGTGAGGTGGGATTCAGAACCTAGAAAAGTTCAGCAGAGACCACCTTCAGCAGGTGGAGACACCCCTGAAGCTGGGGCTGGATCTTGTTCATTTTGGTGTCTGGAGGACCTGAGACTGTGGGCTGAATCAATCAGATTCAGAGAAGCAATGCCATAGACTATATCTCCTCCTGCCCCAGGTGGTACAAGCCCCTGTGTGTTGGCAGCAAAGCCTCACACTCAGGGGATGAGGAAGCAAGCCTGAGCCGTGCCACAGCTCTGCCTTCAGGGCAGAAGGGAGGGTTTTCTCAAGCCCTGTAGCCTTTCATCCCTGCAGGAGAGAAAGCGTGGGCGCTAGACTCAGATTCAAGCTCTAAACCTGCCTCCATCCCAGCATGAAATGCTGGTGAGTCATTGCCCTCTCTGAGCTTCCATTTGCTCATCACCAGGCAAAGATGTGAGGAAGCAGATGGGACAATCAGTCTTCACTTAACGATACTTACTGAGCACCAGGCACTGTGTCTCACACTGGGGTACAGCTGGAAACAAGAGAGACAAAGCTCTGTCCTCCCTAAGATCCCAACCGGACAATGAAAAGGCATTGCTATGATCTGGGTGAGAACCTGGATGCGGGCAGGGTGAGGAGGGGTGTCAGGCTGTCCTGATAAGCAAGGAGGTAGAAAAAGGCTGTCCACACAGGGCAAACCACATGTACAGGGCCCAGAGGGGAGGGGACACAGAACCCATTCTGGGGAATGAAGGAGGTCTGGTTAGCCTGGCAGGAATATTTGATGCTAAGATGGGTGCACCAAGGTGAAGGGTAGAGCAGGCCTGGGTCATGCAGGCCCTCAGGGGCCAAAAGGGGGGATGGGGACTTCACCAGTCAGTGTCCCAGGAGGGATCCTGCAAGGCAAACATGTATGGTAGAAGCCTCACTCTTAGGGCTGGCTATATAATTTTATTTATTATCATTATTATTATTATTATTATTTTTTTTTTGAGATGGAGTTTCGCTCTTGCCCAGGCTGGAGTGCAATGGCGTGATCAGTTCACTGCAACCTCTGCCTCCTGGATTCAAGCGATTCTCCTGCCTCAGCCTCCTGAGTAGCTGGGATTATAGGCATGTACCATGATGTCTGGCTAATTTTTGTATTTTTAGTAGAGACGGGGTTTCTTTATGTTAGTCAGAAATTCCCGACCTGAGGTGCTCTGCCTGCCTCCGTCTCCCAAAGTGCTGGGATTACAGGCCTCAGCCACCACGCCTGTGGCCAGTTTTTTTTTTTTTTTTTTTTTTTTTTTGAGACAGGGTCTTACTCTGTCACCCAGGCTGGAGTACAGTGGTGTGATCTCAGCTCACTGTAGCCTCCACCTCCTGGGTTCAAGCAATTCTCCAGACTCAGCCTCTCCAGTAGCTGGGACCACAGGTGCACACCACCATGCCCAGATACTTTTTGTATTTTTTAGTAGAGATGGGGTTTTGTCATGTTACCCAGGCTGTTCTTAAACTCCTGAGCTCAAAGTGATCTGCCTACCTCGGCCTCCCAAAGTCCTGGGATTCCAGGCATAAGCCACAGTGCCTGGCCAGGCTAGTTATACAATTTGTGGATTTGGTGAAAAACGTAACTGCAAAGTCCCCACCAGAGGCAAGAAAGTCCACTGCCTCTTCTCACAGCACACTGCCTCCACCCATGGCCAATAGGCAGCCCCTCCAGATTGCCATAGTCATTTTAGGACACGCTCAATATCTGGACTGGGGGTCATGGAGAAGCCTATGCTAAGTTTCAGCCCGGGGAGGGGAAAGCCACCACTTTGTCACACCCTAAGATGCCAGGGGCCAATCCAGCAGTCCCCAGTCCTCCTTGAGCCCACATTCAGGCCTCCAGATGGAGGGGGGCAGCCATGGTGGGGCAGAGGTGGGGACACCGGGAGCCTGGGAGTGGGCAGCCGAGAGCCTGTGCTGGGGAGGCAGTGGGACATGGGACACACACAAACCAGCTTCCAAATTCCCAGTGAAGGCGCTGTTTTCCCATCAGACTTCACTCACAAAGCACAAATTCAATGCTAACATGATTGTTTCAAGATGGTGGCCAGAGCACTGAAGCCCAAGCACACGGCCCTTCTGAGCTCTGGTCTTAAGTGGCTGCACTGGATGCATACCTGTGAAGCTGGCCCCGCCCACTCTGGCTGCTGTATGGACAACAGACTAGAGGGGCAAGCGGGGAGGCTGGGGGTGCTGTTGGGGAAGTCAAGGCTACAAGTGGAAATAGAGATCCACCTGGGATCATACCCAGGCACCTAAAAGAGGGCAATCCTCAAGGCACGGTACAGGCCGATCAGGTGGATAGGAGATGGGAGGAACACCAGGCTTGCTCCTGGATAAAGGATGGGCCCTGCTCCTTTGCAGCCAGAGGCCTCTGATGCTATCTAGGGCTCCAAGGGGAACCCCTGGCCCAGGGAGGCCAGCTGTAGTGGTCATGGGTCCATGTCTATGGGCAGCCCCGCTTTATCCATTATGCTCCACGAGTCTCTGAGTCTACGGTCTATAAGAATGTTTGAAACCTAATGGAAAAATGAGGGTCTCCAAACCACAAAAAGAAAATTTCAAAATCAAAAGTAACACCCACTTAGTTTAATGTCCCAGTACCCCTTACATGATGTTAGCTGGTAAACCCAGCTTGAGTTATCATCTGTAAAGTCAGATTCAAGTCATGAATGCACTGATTCAACACATGTTTACTGAGCACCTACTAAGTGCTGAGCACAGTGCTAGGTTCTGAGAAGTCAGGGTGACCAAAACAGAGAAAGTAATGGCAGTAAAGTGTTGAGACATCAACCAGGCATGGTGGCTCACACCTGTAATCTCAGCACTTTGAAAGGCCGAGGTGGGTGGATCGCTTCAGCTCAGGAGTTCGAGACCAGTCTGGGCAACATGGTGAAACCCTGTCTCTCTACACACATACACACACACACACACACACACACGCACACACACACAATCAGCCAGGCATGGTGGTGCACAGCTACTCAGGAGGCTCAAATGGGAGGATCACTTGAGCCTAGGAAGTGGAGGTTGCAGTGAGCCAAGATTGTGCCACTGTACCCAGTCTGGGTGACAGAGTGAGACCTTGTCTCAAAAAAAAAAAAAAAAAAAAAAAAAGTGTTCAGACACCAAGATAAATAGTGTGTCTTATCAAAAGATGATCCTATCCTTTGAAAAATATTCATGGCAAAAAACTTCAACTCAACCTGGGCTGTGGATGCCCCATGTTTTAATGTGTTTGCTCTGATTAGAGAGAGTCCTTCAGACAGTCAAAGGGCCCAGTGCCTGCAAAGTTCTTGAGCCTGGCAGCTGAGGCCCTCATTGGAGGATGATTACCCCACGTGGACTGCAGTGAACCTGAAAAGGAATGGAAGAAACTCCACTCTGCCTAGTTGCTTGCTTTCTAACTATGGTGAGGCTACCACTCAGGTTTCCCATGGTGGCCCTAAGTGGCCTCTGACCTTCCCCAGGGACTCAATGGGACAGGAAGAGCCACATTGAGCCAGGCCTGGTCCTGCAAGGTGGACAGGCCCTCAAGGTGCTGTTGGGGGCTGAGCAGTGACTTGAATGAGAGTGGAGTCCACAGAGAGGGTTGGGGTGGAGGGGAAGTCCTGGGTTTCAGGGGTGGAGCTTGAGCTGTGGGAGGGAGTAAACCGCAGGCCCTAGAGACAGACTTATTTCTCATTTCACCTGTTGTCCATTCATTCACCAACAAATATTGGCCGAGTTGGTGTGAGGTGCTTCTACCCAGCAAAGAAATGCCAGGAATAGGGCCATAACTCACCCAGACAGGATCACTACCTTCAAGACCTTGCACAGACTCAAGGAGTATGGACCTGGGAGTCCCAACGCCCACTGGGCTGGTCCTGCACCATCAACTAGCTCCATGCCGTCCACCCTGTCAGACCTCTGCCCAAATCCAGCCCTTGGCCTCCAGATCCTGAAGCTGAAAGCTCCCAGCACCTGCTCTCCCTCTGCCTCTTCCATCCCTGTGAACCAGGCTCCTGGTGGCCCAGCTCAGGCTGCTGACCTGACTTCCTGACCTCTGGCTCTAGCTTCCAGGCTGGGAGTTGGAGTGGAGGTGGACTCATTTTTTGAATAACCAGCCTCAGGAATCAAAAATACAGTTTTCCAGACTGGGACCCTGTTTGGGGAGGTTTCTGAGTCCCTTGATGTGGGCAAGAGCCAGCTTCACACACGAACACACATGCACACACACATGCATGCATGCACACACCTGGTGAGCCCTCCCCCAACATACCCTTCCATGTAAATCCTCACACATACCATATACATATGGTCAAAATATTCCATGTATCCCACACTCTGCTCACACACTGTGCCACATGCACATCCATGACTCCACATTGCCTGATACAGACCCACAGTGCTCGCACACACACACAAACACATGTACGCAGTTACATCCTCACAACTGCACTTGCACATCCACATCCATTCACACGCTCACTCCTTCATACTCACACACAAATATGTGTGTACCTTCAGGCCTCATGCTCATGCACATTTACACACGGGCTCACTCTTACTGCCTTACATGCACAGGCACACATCATACATCCTTACCCAACAGGTGCTGTTCCAAGCACTTTATGTGATAAACTCACCCCGAGTAACACAATCTATGAGGGAGGTACTATATCACTTCCATTGTATAGATGAGAGAACTGAAGCACAGAGAGGTTAAGCCACTTGTCTAACACCACACAGCTATTAATGGCAGAGCTGGAATCCAAACCCAAGCCATCAGGCTCCCCAGTCCAAGCTCTTAGCCACTACATTCCATGGTCTCTTTGGTGGCAGAAATAAAGTTAGTTATTACAATAAGCCTTAGAAAGAGTTTGTAGTTTTGCTGTGTCTCAGTTTGCAGTTACTTGCCTCAGAGGGGGATAAAAATCAGTCCGGCCTCTGTCTATGCAGAATATTGGAAACAGACAACTGAGTTCTGACTGGTTCTAACCCCAGCTTGCTGTGTGACCTTGGGCAAGGCCCTGATCTTCTCTGGGCCTGTTTCCTGATGTGTAAATGTTGGAGAGAGGGGCAATGAGATCAGAGGTCCCTTTGGGTGGAATGCCCCCAGTCCTCTCCCACCTCTTAGCCTGGAAGCTGGCCTTCATGAAGCCTGGCATTGTGGGCACTGCCCTGGTAAGCACTGGGTCTTAGCCCGTTTCTGCTGCAATAACACAATACCATAGACTGGGTAATTTATAATGAGCAGAAATGTATACATACCGAAATGTATTTATAATGAGCAGAAAGGTTCTGGAGGTGGGGAAGTCTAAGAACAAAAGGTTACATCTGACGAGGGTCTTATTGTTGTGTCATCACATGGCAGAAACCATCACAGAGACAAGAGAGAGAGGAAAGGAGACCAAACTCATCCTTTTATAAAGGAACCCATTCCCGAGGTGATAGCATTAATCCATTCCTGAGGTGACCTTTAACCACCTCTTAAAGGTCCTATTTCTCAAACCATTGCACTGGGGACTACGTTTCCAGCACTTGAACTTTGGGGGACATGGTCACCATCTTGTTCATCTACCCACTCACCCATCCATGCATTCATTCATTCTCTATTCCTCCAAACATTGATCCACGCATGCACTGATTATCTACCTATTTATCCATCCACTCAATCACCCATGCACTCATTATCCATCCATTAATTCATCTATGTATCCACCATTCATTTCTCTTTCTATCTTTTTTTTTTTTTTTTTTTTGAGACAGAGTCTTGCTCTATCACCCAGGCAGGAGTGCAGTAGCACAATCTTGGCTCACTGCAATCTCCATCTCCTGAGTTCAGGCAATTCTCCTGCCTTAGCCTCCTGAGTACCTGGGATTACAAGTGTGCGCCATCGC